ATCACATCTGTGCTAAATAATCTTCTTTCCAGTTCTAAATTTTTATTTCTTATTATTATTTTCCTAAACAGAGTGATGATATACCTGACACAATATAGTCTAAATTCAGTGATTAATGTATTGTTGGGTTGACTTTATGATCATCTGCTAAACACATTATAGCAGTAGCATCCTACTTACGTCATTCAGGCGAACCTTCGTCTTCAGTCTGCTCTTGAACTACACCGGGCAAACTTCTTTTGGTACTTCAGATCAGTGTAGTTCTTCCCTCATCGATGCCTTAAGCTGTAGTTGTCCTAGTCGCACAGTATACTCTTTCACAAATTATGTGTATTGATGGTTGTGGCATGCAAGGAGTACACACCCTCATTTACAGGCTATCTCCCCCAACCAGCGAGCCAGGGACTGAGGGTTGACGATGGGGCCCCGTCGTTTAACCAGTACCCAGGTTCCAGCCAATGAGAAGATGGTTTTGGCAATCGCACAGGTGATGTGGGTACCACTCGCCTGTCTGCCCTTGTCATTCCCATTCTAGAGCTGGTTGAAGCACGGTCTGCTCTCTAGTGGCTTCTATTCTGCCTTGCTTACCGTGGAGTGCACTAATGCCTATTGTTGTACATAGTATATATAGTGTACATACTTCTGTTCTAAATTGGTGAAAGATGATGTAAGTCAAAAGTTTTTCTGCTGTGTTTATTTTTGCTCCCTTTAAACCCAGGATAACAGGCCTTTGGGACTCCTGGGTTGTAATAATGGTTCTTTTCACCAATCCACTGGTGCAGTTGGTAGTGCTACTGTTGTCATACAGAGTGATGGTTCTCATAAAGAAATTAGGGCATGCACCATAAACTAGGTCTTCACCCTTCAAACAGAACTGTTTGTCATACTCCTCGCGCTCAAATGCTTCTGTGTATCAAAAGAGACTAATTGTAAGTGATTGTTTATCCTCCATAAATGCTGTGTCAATTGTGACAGACTTGTTTCAGAAGTCAAACACGGGTATGGTAGCATTGTGGACAGTGGAGCCAGTGTACACCTTCACTAGATTCCATCTCACACTGGTCTTCAGATGCTTGAATGAATTGATGAATTACGAAAGCCATACACCTTCAGAGAGGGAGTAGACTGCGAGTCATCAGTTTGAGGACAATATTACAAAAAGAGCTTCAACTGAACTTCAGACTGCGGGAGACTGACACTAGTCAGTTCATCTATCATCATTCTATCATGCAGGAGGAGCCACATGTCTATACTGCTTCCAACAAAATAAGCCGACTCTTGAGTATCACTACCGCCCATCCCCGGCTGGGCTACCAGTATCTCTGGGAGGTTAAATCACCATCACTAGATGTAGACCAAAGATGGACGATTGTCACACCGTGAGTCATTATGTACAGGAATTCGATAAAAATGAATAAATTCCAAGACAACTCACTCACTGCGGTGACATGTTACCAACCACTCTGGAAAAATACCCTGACTTTGCTCACTGTAAATAATGCATAACCACTTAAACATTTTTTACAAGTATACCTTGCTAAAGTGTAAGGTATTATTTCTATAATATTTTTGTGACCCATGCACTCTACCCCAGGCCCAGAGTCATGGAAATCCGTGTTCATCAAAAACTGCAAGAAGCCCTTGTCACTTACCTGCAGGGCTCTATGGAGAGGGAGCATAGACACAGTGGTCATCCCACACTCACTAAAAACAACAGACATAGCCCCACTCTACAAAGGTGGCAGTAAAACAATTGCAAAGAACATCAGACCGATAGCACTAACATCCTATATCATAAAAATCTTTGAAAGGGTTCTAAGAAGCAAGATAGTCAACCACTAGATACCCATCAATTTCACAACCCAGGGCAACACGGGTTTAGAGCAGGTCGCTCCTACCTGTCCCAGCTACTGGACCACTATAACAAGGTCCTGGATGCTATGCAGATGTAGTAATAGCGCACAAAATGCGTGATAAAGGAATAACAGGAAAAGTTGGTAGATGGATCTATAACTTCCTACCAAATAGAACACAGAGAGTAATAGTAAACAGAGTAAAGTCTGAGGCAGCTACGGTGAAAAGCTCTAGTCCACAAGACACAGTACTCGCTCCCATTCTGTTCCTCATCCTCATATCTAACATAGAGATGTAAGCCATAGCTTCGTGTCTTCCTTTGCGGATGACAACCGCATTACCATGACAGTGACCTCCATGGAAGACACCGTAAGACTCCAAGCGGACATCAACCAAATCTTCAAATGGGTCACTCAACACAATATGAAGTTCGATGAAGAGAAATTTCAACTACTCAGATCTGGAAAATTTGAGGAAATTGAAACTGTATCAGGGTATACGACAAATTCTAACCATACACATGAGCGAAAAATTAATGTGAAGAACCTGGGAGTGATAATGTCCGAGGACCTCACCTTCAAAGACCACAATAATATATCTACGCATCTCCGCATCTGCCATGAAAATTATAGGATGGATAATGAGTACCTTCAAAACTAGGGATGACAAGTCAATGATGATTCTTTTCAAACCGCTTGTTCTCTCTAGGCTGGAATACTGCTGTACACTAACTGTCCGTTCAAGGCAGGAGAAACTGCTGACCTGGAGAGTGTACAAAGAACTTTTGATAGGAACGGTTGAAGTTCATTGATTTGTATTCCCTGGAACGTGTGCAAGTTTGGACTAATCCTAGAGGAATTAGTACCAAACTTGCACACGAAAATCACTCCCTACGAAAGCAAAAGACTCGGCAGGAGATGGAACATTCCCCCCAATAAAAAGCCTGGGTGGCACGAATACACTGAAAGACAAACAATAAGTGTCAGGGGCCCAAGACTGTTCAGCTGCCTCCCAGCATACATTAGGGGGATTACCAATAGACCCCTGGCTGTCTTCAAGAAGGCACTGGACAGGCACCTAAAGTCAGTACCTAACCAACGGGGCTGTGGTTCGTATGTCAGTTTGCTTGCGGCCAGAAGTAACAGCCTGGTTGATCAGGCCCTGATGCATCACGAGGCCTGGTCTCAGACAGGGCCTCGGGGGCGTTGACCCCTGAAACCCTCTCCAGGTATACTCCAGGTAATTGTGTCTGCAAAAATAACCCATAACGACTGTAAGCAGATATAAAGAAGCAGATAGTTTATTATCATTGTTAGTTGTTTGTCTATGAAAACTTAGCTGCCCAGTTCCTGGACCCATTATGTGCTTCTCTAATATTTTGACTACCGCCCACACCATCGTTATGGCTGCATAATATAGTAAATTAACTCTTCTCACATTATTATTAACCAATCAGGAGAGAACCCAGGAGTATCACTTTGCACTGACTAACAACGTATAAATAACTTTACAGATCATAATTTACTACCAAAGACAGGGAACTAATCTTAATAAATATTAAGGGACTAGTGCCCAAATTTGTTGTTTAGTCACGACTTCTCACTGAGGACGGACCGTCAACCTTCAGGTGGGACCACACGGGCCACCTTGCACGGACCTTAGTCAGACATATTTTTAATTGTACACGTGCGTTGAATCTAGCAATACAGACTCCGACTGAACTGTAGAAAGTATCGTAAACTCGAGTAAGGTTGGTTACATACTGTACACAGTCTACATCTTCATTTATCAATGCCGCCCACTTGTGTTCACCAGGAAAGTGTTTTAACGTTATATAAATACCACAGAGTATTCCCACTAATTGTTATATAGGATCAGTTAATCTTCGAGGGTCAGAGAGAATTATTCTCAGATATTCTTGGTGTTACACGGAATATCATTAATATCATTACAAGTATTGTTGAATAATTTAAGGGAAAGAACTATGTTCTTTGTGTAATGGTATCAGCTGAGGTTAGGTTACGTAAGATTTGTCAGGAAACAGGAGCTGGAGCTTTAGGTCATCTGACCGAGGCCTTCCGCTGGCTTACACTGTTATGTGCGGACTGAAGTCATAAATTACTGTAAAATTACTATTTAATTTTACACAACATTTCTATTAATCTGATTCCAATGTAATAATTTATTAATTCAATTCGCTCATAACAGTGATTAACACTGCAGCTGAAAGCATTACAGTGAAATTTAATTTTACATTAATGCAATAATCCAGGTCTCGGATTATGTAAATTATCCTGATGAACTGCAATACTTTGGCGCCCAGCCAGTGTTCGTACGTTTGAGTCTCCTGCTGATGGAGATTAGTCTTTGTAAATATTTCACTTGTTCTGTGAGGTTTAAACATCCTCAAATGTTTGGGTGGTCGATGTATGCTCCCTGACACTGCACATTGAATTAGTGGCACTCCATAAAGCACCTTGATGAACTATATAACAGGCACCACGTTGATCTTCACGAGTGTTTCACAGCTGCTGTAACACCAGTACAACACAACCACGAGACAACACAAGGCAAGACTCATCACATTCATCATATAGGTTCATGATGTACGGATATACTCAACCACACACATTTGGCTACCAAGCCACGATAGTATCCAAGAGAAAGTGGCTGTAGATAACGCTGCCAAATTAACCTATAAGGATGAGCAGGTTCTTGTCATTATATCAACCTATGACCAGACTAATCATATATTCCAATAATTCTTTAGTATGAACACATGAGACCTTATTCATACATCAAGATTAGACCTATAAGGATGTTAAATATTCGTTTATTAGTTCAAAAATTGCTGATTTTTTCCACCCGCGGCTCATCTAGTTCTCGGTCTCACCACAATACTCTTAAGTTAACTTTTAGTGAGCTAAACTTAGCATTTAACACTTAACATCCGATAACATAGACGTTATGGGAGGTACCAGGAAACCAGGAGTGTGCCAGCTGCAGGTACTTACCTACCAGCTGGTACCGGTCTCGTATGGCGCCAGTAAGGTGCCAGCTAGATACTTACTAGGAGATCAGGAGAGTGCCAGCTGAAAGTACTTTCCAGTCAGGAGACCAGGAAGGTGCCAACTGCAGGAACTTACCTGCCAGGAGATCAGGAGGGTGCCAGGAGCGGTGCCAGTGACAGTAACGTTGTAAGGGTGGTGGTCTGGAGCCAGGCCTGGAGGGAAGCACTCAAAAGTATCTTCACTGGGCCCAGACATGCCCACCCTGTTGAGCGCCAGCACCCGGAACGTGTAGTTGAGTCCTGGACTCATCCCAACCTGTGCAACAACCACTCTCTTCATTACCTTTACTAACAACTACATTAACGTAATTAATACACCAATAATTAAATTTATTATTATTACTGTTAGTTACTGTTATTATTATTATTATTATTATTGTTGTTGTTGTTGTTGTTGTTGTTGTTGTTGTAGTTGTTGTTGTTGTTGCCATTATTACATTATTATTTTCGATATTATTATTATTATTGGAAACGCCTGAAGACTGAGGTAACCATATCTGACCCGAGGAACCGCAGCTCCAACTTCCTGGATCAAGAGTTCTTCAATAACATGAAGACAGTTATTTTCTCCCTAACTAAGGGCCACCCAGAGGAGGACCAGGATGGCCAGGAGGGCCAGGAGGACCAGGATGGCCAGGAGGGCTAGAAGAGCCAGGAGGGCCAGGAAGATTAAGAAAACCAAGAAAGAAATTAGGGAAAGCAGAATTAGGAAGACCAGGAGTGCCAGGAGGGCCAGGAGGGCCAGTAGGGCCAGGAGGGCCAGTAGGGCCAGGAGGGCCAGAAGAGCCAGGAGGATAGGGAGGGCCAGGAAGCCCAAGAAGACTAGGAGGCCCATGAGGTGTAGGAGTGCAAGAAGGGCCAGGAGGGTTAGAAGGGCCAGGAGATTTAGGAGGCCCAGGAGGGCTATGAGTGTAAGAAGGGCCAGGAGGGTTAGGAAAGCCATGTGGGTTAGGAGGGCGAGGAAGGTTAGGAGGGCGAGGAAGGTTAGGAGGGCGAGGAAGGTTAGGAGGGCGAGGAAGGTTAGGAGGGCGAGGAAGGTTAGGAGGGCGAGGAAGGTTAGGAGGACCAGAAGGGCTAGAAGGGACAGGAGGTTAGGAGAACTAGAAGGGCCAATAGGGTCATGGGGCCAAGGGAGCTACGACTACCAGGAGAGCTGGGAAGGCCAGGAGAGCCAGAAGGGCTAGGAGGGCCAGGAGGGACAGCAAAGCCAAGATGGATAAGAGGGTCAGAAGGGCTGAAAGGGCTAGGAGGGCCACGAAGGTTAGGAGAGCCAGAAGGGCCAGGAGAACTAAGAAGGCCAGGAGGGCTAGGATGGCTAGAAAGGCTAGGAGGGCGAGGAGAGCCAGGAGAACCAGGAGAGCTAGGACGGCTATGAGTTTCTGGAGTTTATCTGGAGAGAGTTCCGGGGGTCAACGCCCCCGCGGCCCGGTCTGTGACCAGGCCTCCTTAGGTCAGTGTCCCGGGATGCGACCCACACCAGTCGACTAACACCCAGGTACCCATTTTACTGATGGGGAACATAGACAACAGGTGGAAAGAAACACGTCCAATGTTTCTACTCTGGCTGGGAATCGAACCCAGGCCCTCACCGTGTGAAGCGAGAGTGTTAACCACCAGGCCACCAGAGCCCTGGTGAGTGTTAGGAAAACCAGAAGGGCCAGGAGGTCCAGGAGGGCCAGGAGGGCCAGGAGAGCCAAAGGGTTAAGAATGGCCGCTTGACCAGGAGTTCAAGAATGTGGTGCTGTGTGATCACTGTGGCGGATGGTGACCACTGTGGTGGATGGTGACCACTATGGTAGATGGTGACCACTGTGGTGGATGGTGACCACTGTAGTGGATGGTGATCACTGTGATGGATGGAGACCACTGTGGTGGATGGTGACCACTGTGGTGGATGGTGACCACTGTGGTGTATGGTGACCACTGTGATGGATGGAGACCACTGTGGTGGATGGTGACCACTGTAGTGGATGGTGACCACTGTGGTGGATGGTGACCACTGTGATGGATGGAGACCACTGTGGTGGATGATGACCACTGTGGTGTATGGTGACCACTGTGATGGATGGTGACCACTGCAGTGGATGGTGACCACTGTAGTGGATGGTGACCACGGTAGTGGATGGTGACTACTGTGGTGGATGGTGACCACTGTAGTGGATGGTGACCACTGTAGTGGATGGTGACCACTGTAGTGGATGGTGACCACTGTAGTGGATGGTGACCACTGTGGTGGATGGTGACCACTGTAGTGGATGGTGACCACTGTGATGGATGGGACCACTGTGGTGGATGGTGACCACTGTGTGGATGGTGACCACTGTGGTGGATGGTGACCACTGTGATGGATGGGACCACTGTGGTGGATGGTGACCACTGTGATGGATGGTGACCACTGTGATGGATGGTGACCACTGTAGTGGATGGTGACCACTGTGGTGGATGGTGACCACTGTGATGGATGGTGACCACTGTGGTGGATGGTGACCATTGTGGTGGATGGTGACCACTGTAGTGGATGGTACCACTGTGGTGGATGGTGACCACTGGTGATGGGACATGGTGGAGCCACTGTGTGGATGGTGACCATTGTGGTGGATGGTGACCACTGTGGTGGATGGTGACCACTGTGGTGGATGGTGACCATGTGGTGGATGGTGACCACTGTGTGGATGGTGACCACTGTGGTGGATGGTGACCACTGTGGTGGATGGTGACCACTGTAGTGGATGGTGACCACTGTGGTGGATGGTGACCACTGTGTGGATGGTGACCACTGGGTGGATGGTGACCACTGTGGTGGATGGTGACCACTGTGGTGGATGGTGACCACTGTGGTGGATGGTGACCACTGTGGTGGATGGTGACCACTTGGTGGATGGTGACCACTGTGGTGGATGGTGACCACTGTGGTGGATGGTGACCACTGGTGGATGGTGACCATGTGGTGGATGGTGACCACTGTGGTGGATGGTGACCACTGTGGTGGATGGTGACCACTGTGGGATGACCACTGTTGATGGTGACCACTGTGGTGGATGGTGACCACTGTGGTGGATGGTGACCACTGTGGTGGATGGTGACCACTGTGGTGGATGGTGACCACTGTGGTGGATGGTGACCACTGTGGTGGATGGTGACCACTGTGGTGGATGGTGACCACTGTGGTGGATGGTGACCACTGTAGTGGATGGTGACCACTGTGGATGTGAATGTGAGATGGTGACCACTGTGGTGGATGGTGACCACTGTGGAGTGGATGGTGACCACTGTGGTGGATGGTGACCACTGTGGTGGATGGTGACCACTGTGGTGGATGGGACCACTGTGGTGGATGGTGACCACTGTGGTGGATGGTGACCACTGTGGTGGATGGTGACCACTGTGTGGATGGTGACCACTGTGTGGATGGTGACCACTGTGTGGATGGTGACCACTGTGGTGGATGGTGACCACTGTGGTGGATGGTGACCACTGTGGTGGATGGTGACCACTGTGGTGGATGGTGACCACTGTGGTGGATGGTGACCACTGTGATGGATGGTGACCACTGTGGTGGATGGTGACCACTGTGATGGATGGTGACCACTGTGGTGGATGGTGACCACTGTGGTGGATGGTGACCACTGTGGTGGATGGTGACCACTGTGGTGGAATGGTGATACCACTGTGGTGGATGGTGACCACTGTGGTGGATGGTGACCACTGTGGTGGATGTGACCACTGTGGTGGATGGTGACCACTGTGGTGGATGGTGACCACTGTGGTGGATGGTGACCACTGTGGTGGATGGTGACCACTGTGGTGGATGGTGACCACTGTGGTGGATGGTGACCACTGTGGTGGATGGTGACCACTGTGGTGGATGGTGACCACTGTGGTGGATGTGACCACTGTGGTGGATGGTGACCACTGTGGTGGATGGGACCATGGGGGATGGTGACCACTGTGGTGGATGGTGACCACTGTGGTGGATGGTGACCACTGTGGTGGATGGTGACCACTGTGGTGGATGGTGACCACTGTGATGGATAGTGACCACTGTGGTGGATGGTGACCACTGTGGTGGATGGTGACCACTGTGGTGGATGGTGACCACTGTGTGGATGGTGACCACTGTGGTGGATGGTGACCACTGTGGTGGATGGTGACCACTGTGGTGGATGGTGACCACTGTGGTGGATGGTGACCACTGTGGTGGATGGTGACCACTGTGGTGGATGGTGACCACTGTGGTGGATGGTGACCACTGTAGTGGATGGTGACCACTGTGGTGGATGGTGACCACTGTGGTGGATGGTGACCACTGTGGTGGATGGTGACCACTGTAGTGGATGGTGACCACTGTAGTGGATGGTGACCACTGTGGTGGATGGTGACCACTGTAGTGGATGGTGACCACTGTAGTGGATGGTGACCACTGTGGTGGATGGTGACCACTGTAGGTGGATGGTGACCACTGTAGTGGATGGTGACCACTGTGGTGGATGGTGACCACTGTAGTGGATGGTGACCACTGTAGTGGATGGTGACCACTGTAGTGGATGGTGACCACTGTGGTGGATGGTGACCACTGTGGTGGATGGTGACCACTGTAGTGGATGGTGACCACTGTGGTGGATGGTGACCACTGTGGTGGATGGTGACCACTGTAGTGGATGGTGACCACTGTGGTGGATGGTGACCACTGTGGTGGATGGTGACCACTGTAGTGGATGGTGACCACTGTGGTGGATGGTGACCACTGTGGTGGATGGTGACCACTGTGGTGGATGGTGACCACTGTGGTGGATGGTGACCACTGTGGTGGATGGTGACCACTGTGGTGGATGGTGACCACTGTGGTGGATGGTGACCACTGTGGTGGATGGTGACCACTGTGGTGGATGGTGACCACTGTGGTGGATGGTGACCACTGTAGTGGATGGTGACCACTGTGGTGGATGGTGACCACTGTAGTGGATGGTGACCACTGTAGTGGATGGTGACCACTGTGGTGGATGGTGACCACTGTAGTGGATGGTGACCACTGTAGTGGATGGTGACCACTGTGGTGGATGGTGACCACTGTAGTGGATGGTGACCACTGTAGTGGATGGTGACCACTGTAGTGGATGGTGACCACTGTGGTGGATGGTGACCACTGTGGTGGATGGTGACCACTGTAGTGGATGGTGACCACTGTGGTGGATGGTGACCACTGTAGTGGATGGTGACCACTGTAGTGGATGGTGACCACTGTGGTGGATGGTGACC